CCTATCCCTGTGTGCTGTAGTCTTAGGGAAGGAAGGAAGGAAGGAAGGAAGGAAGGAAGAAAGAAAGAAAGAAAGAAAGAAAGAAAGAAAGAAAGGAAGAAAGGAAGAAAGGAAGAAAGAAAAGAAAGAAAGAAAAAGAAAACTTATCTGAAAAGCTGCAAAATCAGAAGTGCTCAGTGTCCTGGGAGAAAAAAGAAAGGATTCTTAACAAGGGGCAACTATGCCAGAGACAAAGAGAACCCCAGGATAATGCAGATGGAGGAAAGCCATCGAATTTGACAGTTAATGTTTAAGTCATAACTATCAGGATAGTAGCTCAGGAAGTGGAGAAGGATTAAAACAAATGTACTAATCAGCGAGTTAGGAAAGTCAGGAAGAGGACACAGGATGTTAGGAAAGGAACATAATTCACCAAAGGAAAGTGGAGGTAAAAACTGATAAAGCAGAAAGTAACAAGATAGAAAATAGAACTAATGAATAAATGCAAAAAAAGTTCTTTAAAAATGAATAAACTACCAGCCAAACTAGTAAAGAAAAAGGTAAAGCACCAATCTACGTAAAAAGAATGTGAGAAACCAGCCCCACATAAAGAAGAAATGAAAAGAGTCATAATAATCTACTCCATCTGACTCTGCACAAGTAAATTTGAAAATAATTTTCTATGGACATTTAATTTACCTAAAACATCCCCAGATGATATGATCAAATATTTGAAAAACACAACTCACTCCAAAACTAGAAGCAATAAGAAATTTGTTAACAGAAAGGTGTCAAATTAATATGTAGAAATCAATTTGGATTATGATAAAAAAAATCACCTCTAGTCAGTGTAGGAAAGATTAACTATTTTAAAAATAGTTTTGCCATCTGGATTCCAATTGGATTCAAGATTTAAGTGTTTTAAAGTAAATAATAAAAAATACTAAAGAAAAATATGGGAGAATTCCTTTATAAACCTAGTACAAGAAAAGGCCTTTTTCACTCAAAAACTAGAAGAAAAAAAAGGCCTTTTTCACTCAAAAACTTGGAGAAAAGATTGATAAATCTTTCTAAATAAAAATAAAAATTCTATGCAAAAAAAAAAATATAGAAAGTAAAGCCATTACAGACTCAAAGGATAATGACCACCTGGGGGAAATTATTTGCAATTCATATCACAGAAAGAACTGATCTCAATTTATAGAATATCCCTAGCTTTTGATAAAATGAGGAATAATCAACCCAATGAAGAAAGGAGGCAGGTCACAGAGAAGGAAATAAATATGTAAAAAGATGCTCAATTTCACTCATAATAAGGG